GGTGACTCACCTTCCAGAAGCAGTAAAATGCTTCTCCTCCACCTCCACTTGCTTCTCTTCTCCCTTCTCCTCCTCCACCTCCCACTTCAAATGCACATCATCATCATCATCATCATCATCCAGGAGCCTTCTACATACACACCTCAAAGTAAGTGAACTTTTCTACCATTTTTGTTGAATTTAGGCAATTTTCGGTGAGCTGGAACCAATTACCCAAAAACCCATTGAAACAATGGTTTCGGTTAACGAGATTTTCGGTTAACGAGCAACCTGCTGGAACGGATTGTGCTCATTAACCGAGGGACCACTGTATTTGTATAACAAAATAGTTCTACAAATAACACGAATTTCCACATCAAAAGACGAAATTTCAACAATAACAGTGGTGCACTGGCTACACAATAAGACAAAGATGGCACCTGACGCTCTTGTTGTGGGTCGTGGTACAACAATATTCATGCGCCAGACGAAATAGTCCCGTATTCATCCACGTTCGTTGTAGGAGTTGCGTTCGTTATAACATTCTCAATTTTATAGGTAAAACCGTTCGTTATAGGAATATTCGTAGTAGGATCCGTTCGTTATAGCATTCCCCACTGTATATATATATATATATATATATATATATATATATATATATATATATATATATATATATATATATATATATATATATATATACTAGAACTCATAAATCATGACTGATGTGATACAAGTAATTAATTTTTATGTTGTGCAAAATATATGATGTTCATATTCAAATTATTTGCTGTCTTACAAGGATTCCAGCAGTGTAATTTATATACTGCAAATTTTAGACTTTGCAATTTTATGTCAAGTTTATTCACTTTTATTGACCTCCAGAACCTAACCCTATTTTTTCCATTGATAATATGTAATTACATATCGCGATTTAGTATATAATGAACATCCTTGGACCCTATCTCGCGATGTATCCCGACCCTACTGTACATGTTACTTATCACTGATTATTTCATGTGTATTTGTAATTATAGTAATTTTTGTAATTTTGTCCTAAGTGATAATGAAAATGTGCTAATATATACAGGCTTCAAATAATGACAATTCATATTTAAAACTATAATTAATTTAGGATGATACTATTCTAGTGCATATTTCAGTCAGTTTATTTAAAAAAAAAATTTACTTGCTGAGGGAGCCTACCTCATGCTTCCAAGAAAATCTGTGACAAGTCTTTATGAACAGCAGAATTTGCATATCAAAAGAGAAATAGAATGGTGCAGATATTTACTTAATATCCCCTTTCTAGAATAATTGTTTTATTTGAAGGGTTGCTTTTTACTCTTCTGTGTTCTTTGTTATATAGAACATATATACAGTCCCTTTGGGGGGACTCAATAATTGGCTGCTTTAAGGGTAGCGCTTGGATGAAAATCAGAAATTACAAAAATATTCAGAAAAATTCCTGAGGAAAGCTGTTGCCTAGGCTATATGCTGACTTATTTTTATTGTATATTTATGTAGCTGTGCATGATTGTTCTACCCTCCCTTCATTTAGAGGGCTCTTCTGTTTACATAGGAAAAACTTAAGAAAAGTACAGTATTTATAATAATATTTTGGTGTAAAGTAATACCAATCACTTGGTAAAAATCAGTATCTGGCACCGTTCTCAGCAAGCTAACCATGGGAGACCATTGTCACAAGAGTCAGTGACCCATGAAACATACGAGAGTGAGGTACAATCGTGAGTTGCTCTCACGCCACCTTTATCAACCTGTATCTCCTAAAAAAATTTTCTAACCTTCAAATCCCTAAGGCTCATCCATTTTTGGGCCGATTCTAATAAAACAAAAACTAAGTAGTAGACTAACATAATGTGCTTGGTGTAACATATAGATTTTCTTTATATTTGGCTTGGTTTATTATTTACTGATTTATATTTATAAATATTTGGAAAAAAAATGGTAAGTTAGGAAAAAAATTCATCCACCCAATATGAAAACGATAATCAGAAATATCTATATGCTGCATTAAACCGGAGTAAATTACCTATATTACACTTGAATTTCAACATAGTTTCACAAGAAGTTATAAGAGAAGTAGGATTTTGAAAATTTATAAGAATATAATGGAAAAATCAGATATCGGGGATTACCGTATTTAGCGGCATAGAAGACGCACTTTTTATTACAAAAATATACTTTGAAAATTACAGTACAGTCAACCCTCGCTTTACGCGGTCCCACATTCCGCGTTTCCACCTTTACGCGGTACCCTGCCGAAACCGGAATGCTCACATTCCGTGGTGCGTGTACCCCTTTACGATATGTTTTCACGTGTGCGCACTTACATACGCGATATCTCTTTTTTCTTTACCACTATCGTTAGCTACTTCTATTGTTCAATTTATTAACATTAAATAACATTAATTAAAACAACCATATTAATTTTACTACAGCTACAACCAATTAATGAATTGTATTGCTCATTTTGCACACATAAACATTAATTCAATTAAAAAGACATTCAGTAATAAACAATAATGAATTTTTTGTACATAAGAGAAATGACACTGTTTACATGATTATGCACGTCGTCTGCACGTTGGCGGGCCGTTGAAACCCGTCGAAATTCAAGTTTCCGCCGTCAAAATTTTTATTTTTTTTTTTGTGTGTGTGTGTTCCAATAAAATACGTTGAATTAAAAACTCACGAAATTTGAGAAGCTACTATACGACATTTAACCCTTCAATATGTTTTCAAAGAGACCATGATGCAGAGAAAGTGGTGCTAGTGCTTCCAAGCATAAGCCACTATCTATCCAGGAAAAGGGTGAATTTCCATGATCCGGCACCGGTCAGGTCCCGAGGTTGCCGGACTAGAGAGGTACAACCTGTACTATAAAACAATTGATTTAACTAATATTGTTGATATACTGCGAAAAATACTATTATTTACATACAGTAGTACCCTGCTTAACGCGGTCAATAAAACCCACAGGGTACCGTGTTAAGTGAAAACCGCGCTAAGTGAACAATAGAACATATGGGATTAATTCCAATAGAAACTGGCCCGATCCCCAAACTCCACTTTTTCTGACACAATACCTATGTTCTAGTAAAAATAACATCTTAATTTTATGATGGTACATGCACACAATTAATACTTAAGAGAAATAGAGAATTACAGTCGCCAAGTTAATGTCCATTCAAATAATGGACTCGACTCCCTCCCCCTCTTCTCACACTACACTGCTGGCTCTTCCCTCTCTGAGAAATTTTTGGGGGAAAACCACTAAATTTTAATAAATAATACCTCAAACTAAAGTTAGGATAATACAATTGACATTGCTGGATTCCTTGTAAGACCAGGGATATTTTGAATATAAATGTCATATATTTTGCACAAAAGATAACATATTTACTCAGAGTAAACATTATATCTAAAATTTGTATGTCTAATGCAAAATCTATGATGTTTATATTCAAAATGATCACCGAATTGTAAGAATTACAGCAATGTAAATTATATTCTGGCCGGGTAATTTGTATGAATTTTATGAGCTAAAACAGGCAGTCAGGCAGAGTGGGGGGAGGGGCGAATCTAAAAATAGCTCTCGAGCCGGACACTCACCGCGTATACGTGGAAAAAACCCGTGTTAAGTGAAAGTTCGGCTCTGGCGAGGCACCGCGTATACGGTAAAACGCGCTAAGCGAAACCGCGTTAAGCGGGGTAATACTGTACTCGGTAGGTAAAAAATAAACAGCTGCAGCTACACAACCCTTGCTGTTGTGCGGTTTGTTTACTAATGGCAGTGGTGCGGCAACACCATCTATGGAGGAATTGCGAAAGGTTGTCTGCTGGTCTCAAAGCGCAGGAACTTTTGTTTCTTCACACCAAAAATTTTAATTCAGCTGATTTTTACCGAGTTGCTTTTTTACTTTTAATTTTTGTATATAAAGATTTTTTGTTTTCTTTAGACGTTGATATACATGTTTACATTTACTTACCTTCCATTGTTGGAAAATATTTCCCGTCGTTGTCATAACAAAAACAAGAGAAAGAATGTAAACACTACAGCTCACTCGACGTGGAGGTGACCAGGTGTAGAAAATGAGTGCTGTATTAAAGATTTCCACTTCTTATACAGATTTTTTTTTTAAGTGATGAAAATGACGACTGATAAGCAGTTCTAAGTGATGATATTCAAAGAGGTGTGTGTACTTGTGCCAAAAGGGCTGTATATCAAGCAACGGTTTCACCGTTGTCGGTTAGTAAGTAAAAAATGTTTTTTCCTAGAATTACATTTCCAAAATCAGGGTGCGTCTTCCACGATGCAGCGTTTTCTACGCCGCAAAATACGGGAGACAGAACTGATTCAGGGGTATAGTAACAATGTATCTGGTGTCCTTAATTGCTGACAGGAAATTGATTTTGATTGATAAATAATTATAAACGAATTTTGTGCTTCAGCCGGACGCTCCTCTAAGTTAGATTGTTTAGGAAGAACATCCTAACCTGGATTATCTTCATACATATGAGCAGTTAACAGTTCAGGCTCATTCCTTGTGGTTACTTTATTCTCATAGGCATTTAATAAGTAGTTGGCTTGTTTTACATTTACTTAAATTCCTCATGACCTTACACCGTGGTTGCATATTATGTCTAAAGTTGTAATATACAACTTTTCTCACTACAAAATATGACTAAAGGCTTCTCTGAGTTACAAAGCTTGAAAGTTAAGCCAATATTTATTCATGAGCCATTCTTAATGTCACTTAAAAACTGGGATTTTAGGATCAATTCACAATTTTTAATACTGAAAATAGACTTGTTTAATTTTCTTCTTTAATTATGGAGATCATACACTGTAATTAGGACTTGTATAAACGGTACCTCTTCTGTAATAGAGGCAATAATGTCCTTCATCAGTGCCTTTTGAGAGCATTGCTTTTGGATTTAAGCATTTATAAATGCATTAGGGGCTATTTTTCTATCTAATATTTTTCTTATTTCAGGGAAGACCCTTCCTGGAGTGGCTGCTCTCTCAGATGCTTAAATATTCACAAACAGTATAGAATTTTAGGTATTGTCAGGTAATAATTGGGATTCATCAGCTGCATAAATCAGTTTCTGGAGACAAATACTTGACATTCTTCTATGTTCTAAACTTTTTTCATTTTCTCAACACAGAGTATTGCCAACAGTAAAGATAAACGTACTAGACCAGAGTTTGTTGGTAAGTTAGGTTGGAGAGACGGATATACAATAGTAATGATATTGAATTGGCATGTGCTATTTGTCAGTGAATTACTAGGTTGTCAGTTAGATATTGATGTAATCTCTAGTTGTAACATATGTATAAATAGTTTGTAAATTAGAGCCATAGTTTCTTAAATTATTATTTTTTTGTGAATTCTATATCATTATACACAATAATTTAAATATCTTACTTCAGGCATCTCAGACTACACCACTTGAAAATTTTAATCATGTATTTTCAGTTATCAAAAATCAATAATTGTATTGTAATTTTTCTGAAATAAGATTCAAAATGTGATTAGTATTGTCATTTATGAAACTTAGGAACTAATACAAATACTGTTGCTGGTAAGTTAAATTTTACAGACATTGTAGAAGGAAGATGATTAAGAATGTTATATTGTCATTGAAATTGTGCAAATAAAGAACTTTGACATTTTTTTTTCAATAGGTCCTTCATATATTCCACTTAATATTCAGAAACAAAAGTATAGATTAGATTCATATACAGTATGCAGAAAGATTCCATAGTGATAAGAGTACTGTATATATGTGAGGGTCAGTATCATTATTATAGTAGTAGGTCACATCATCTAATTAACAAAAAATGCACATTTCATTCCCATCAAAACATCACAGTGCATATGAACAAACCTCAGAATTATCAACTCTGATATCACCATACTGTACTTCAAAGACTACTTCAGTATTAGATAATTATATTAAAGAAGAAATTAAGTTTATGAAAGTCATTGACCTGCGATAGAAAAGGGAGACCGAGTGGGTACATGCGAAGAAGAATGGGAACGGTTCTGACTGCAATCTTAGAAAGTGCAGCTGAAGCAAACAAATTTAGAGGGACTGGGATGAGAGGTTGTCCATGTTTATTAACTCTGAGGATGGTGATGGCGGCTCATGGTCATTACCCACTGGATATTTGAATACTGTATTAAAAAATAAAAAAATCCTAAAAGCATACGAATCTCATCATAAACTCTAGATTTACACCATCAAGTTCATGGGGTACAGGAATAAATAAAGAGTCACTTTAATCCCATGTGGGACCCGCAACAAGTGATGCCAACCTTGTGGAAATTTTTTTAGATTTAGCAGATGTCAATATCTTCAAAGCTGATTTCTTAATTCTATCATACAGTAGAAGTCCAAAAATCCGGACTGCTTGGGGATTGGGTCGGTCCGGATTTTCGGATTTTCCGGATTCTCAGGCAGTACTTTTAAAATTCAAATTTAAGGAGGAATAAAGAAGAGATGAACAGGTACATTTTGATAGTTTATTCATTAGCAAATATAGCATGTTTCATTCATCAAAACAAGCAGTTTTAAAGAAAAAGCTGTGAATTCTAGAATTTTATTCTTTGCCTTTTTTTCTATCATAAATTGTAGACTTTCCAATGTCTAATGTTTCCATAAGAACAGTATTGTTCACACCACGTATTTTCTTAATTATTTCAAGTTTGTCACTCGATTTCAACGTGTTCTTCTTTCTCTTCACACTGTGACGGGCCGAGTTTTCTCTTCTCATAATTTACCATCCAGATAGTCTTTTCTGTTATGATTCTTCAATTCTTTAGCTATAACTTCAGATATTCTTTTCTGTTATGATTCTTCAATTCTTTAGTTATAAGTATACTTTAGATTCTTATACAAGTAATTCTCTTCTCAGTTCTGTATGTTCTTTATCTTAAACTTTCATGATGTATATATTTACTAATTTCAATGCTGTGTCGTTAGTTCCACAAGATACATACATGTCTTACCTTTCTTTTCTTGTACTTACCAAGTCTTTCATTTCGTTCATATATATTATATTCTCAGTTTCCAATGTTCTTACCTTTCGGAAGTATACTTTGTTTTGTGTCTATTCATATACATGGGTTAGTCTGGGGAACCATGTTACTCTTAGTACAACTCTTTTTATACTTACACAGGGTAGCTGCCACCACCCAGACTTTTCATTATACAGTTGTACCCCGCTTTACGCGGTCAATTGAACCCACAGGGTACCGCGTTAAGTGAACAACAGAACATATGGGATTAATTCCAATAGAGACTGGCCCGACCCCCAAACTCCACTTTTTGACGACACACAACTATGTTGTAGTAAAAATTTTATCTTAACTTTATGATGGTATGAACAAACAAGTAATATAGAAGAGGTTAGGTTAGGAAAAATAAAGGTTAAGTTAGGAAAAATAAAGGTTAGGTTAGGAAAACTAAAAGTTCGGTGTAACACTTACGTTAGTAGAAGAGATGGGTCGGCATACGGGGATGGAGGCGGAGGAGGAGGGAGGGAGGAGGAGGAGGAGGGAGAGGCGAGTCAGGCGGGAGCGGGTGGCGGGTGGGGCGAATCTAAAAATAGCGTCTCGAGCCGGACACTCTGCGCGTATATGGGTAGATGAGCCGCGTTAAGTGAAAGTTCGGTTCTGGCGAGGCACCGCGTATATGACAAATCGTGTTAAGTGAAACCGCGTAAAGCGGGGTACAACTGTATTACATACTCATGGAAGGGTTTTGGGTAGTGTGGTAGATGTATAGGCACGTGAGTAAGTATTATTTTCTGGGAACCAATGTTTAGAAGGAATAGAGTGGTGATACTCGTAGATTTACTAATTCAATATTTATTAACACAGTGAGTGGATAAGATGCACCTTAGATTCACTCAGACAAAACAGAACCGCAATTAACTTATTAAGTCATCAAACACTTCAAGAACTTATTACCTCATTCACCACCTCCAAATACCTATTATACCATTAAACAACTCCAAGTACTTATACCATTCAACAACTATTACTCATTACTTCATAAGACAACTGTTGTATTATTTCTTTGACAAGTAAGATTTAGAAATGACTACACACTGTCAATAACACTGGTCCCGCAGGTCTTACTTTAACAAGGAACAAAGTACCTCCTCAATTCTTGGTTATAACTTCATACTCTCAGGTATCCTTTCCTGGTCACTACCCACACATACATAACACACTGGACCAACTCCACAATTGTAGTAACAAACAATACCTCCTGTTAGTTCGCAAGGAACAACCTGGTACCTTGAACTCTCATTCAGTGGTTCAATACTTAACCTGGGATGACTATATTTCTGCTAGTCATCCCCAAGCATGGATATTAATACGGCTCCATACATATAACCAAGAACAGTAGATAGACCATGATCATACCACCGAGTCAGTGGGCCAAAGTTGTTTACAGGCTCGCTCGCTAGCTCGGAGCGCCTGGCCCGGGAAAGGTCGACTCGTGGCAGTGGGCCGTGGCGTCTGCCAAGGAATCTCGCCCTGGGATTCTAATTTCGCCACCTTAAAGACGTCCTTCGAGAGACATCATGCCCATAGGCGGTTCCCGAACCTCAGGAGTGTTGCTAAACCCCCACAACAGCGTCTGTAGACGTGGAGGAGAAATCACAGGAGTGAATATTTAACTTCACTATACAAAACATACGTCTGGCACCGGTTCAGACGATAGCTAGATCTTTACTTTACTTGACTCAATTGGCACGGAAGGTACTATGTTAAAACATGAACACTGATATTCACAAAAATGACTAAGTTAAACTGAGTTAATATGGCGGCGTGGAACGCACGTGAACATACCTGGAGACGTGGAGGAGAAATCACAGGAGTGATTTTTCCCTCGCGCGCCTGCATATATACGGGCCTGAGAGCATATTCCTACTAGAAAGACTAATTTTACTAACAATAGGCCCTCTATTCAAGGTTGTCGTTGGACACCTAGCTGTGACCGTCAGTGTCACAAAATAACATAACTTCAGTAGCGATCAGAAACTCTTGTGTATCCCCATGGACGACATAAAATACGCCACTCTAGCTGGCAAACTCAACACTCGCTTACTTGACACGTCTTACTAACAATAAGGACAGTTGAAGCGTTCAACACCACTCACAATGGATCTTGAATGTTCCAACTGTAAACAGACATATCTAAGTTGACTCAAGACAAGGGTGTTCTCTCTCAAATTCATTTTATAGAGAGGTTGGTTTCAGTAAGTCAGAGAAAATGGGATAACGGAGGACTGAGGCGTCTTGAAGTGATGAGAAAACGGACTCCTCAGATGGAGGACTCAAAATAAAAGCAGAGGTACATGTTTTGTGGGCTATTGAGCGTAATATGAATCATTTGATTTTGGCGTTAACTGACATGTATGACCGTGGTCGTTACAACACAACGAAGTTTATCTACTTTGGGAGCCATTATTATGGGCTTGTACAGTACTCTGTAAATGGAAAGAGTAGGACTCAAAATTACATACGTTGTCACAGTTTGATTGCTCGTTTCAAAGTGGCGACCGCGTGGTCGCTTGTTACTGTGCAGCTGTAACACTCCACGATACTCATATACACAAAAGCCCGCTAAAAAAAAAAAAATTTCGAAAGTCCGATTTCGGTGGTCCGGATTTCTGGATCCGGATTTTTGACTTTACTGTAGATAGCAGATTGTTTTGACAGATTTTTATCTAGTTTAGTGTAATTTGGCGGGTTTAAAAATATGGCCAGAATTATAATTTCTTAGTGTCTTTATTTATTCTTTCATTGGAAGTAATTAGTGCCAGGTTTATAGAGTTTGTAAACCAGTCCATA